TGGCGAAACATCATGGACCCATTTGGGGGGAAAATGCTCAGAGGGATTCTCCTGTTCTTCTCTCTGTTGGCAATTCGGGGAGGTCCGAGAGGAGGGGCAGCTCACCACACATATGTGTGTATTCACGCGAGCATGCATTTGTGTTCTGTGCGTAGGTGTTCTATGCGGTCGTGTTAATGAGTACGTGTTAATGCGAGGGGGGGAGGAGGCCCTCGCCCACTACACGCGCACCCCAGTGTACCCCATTGAGCATAAAAAGAAACTCACCCATATCTGCCTCAGGTGTTTCACAAGATGCAAGGACCTGCCGCAAAGACTACTCGTATGGGAGTTGCCTCCACCAACCCTAAGCACGCACTGGGGGAAGACGTGTGTCTGCCCCTTGTGATGTGTATCCTCCACACAATGAAGAAGGAAGGAGGTGGACATGCCTACGCACGTGTATATATTTATGTCAATTATTATATATATATTTTTTTTTTTTTTTCCTTTTTGGTGAAGGCGTCCATGCGCAGAGGGTACGTTGAGGGGGGCACACTTTTCTTCACTACTGTATGCTCTCCACTTGACAAGCGCCCATTCACCCCCTCCACACCCCCACATACACAGGGTGGCACCAGGTGAACGCCTCCCAGGAGTGCGTCGCTCCGTTGTCCTACCGAGGGCCCTGTCCTCGCTTCCTCCAAATGGAAAACAAAACGACACAAAAAAGGTTGCTCGAAGGGGAGTGCCGTATTTTCTGGTGAGGCACCACTGCAGGTGTTGCTCATGCTGTTCATATATTGTTACTCCCCCTTCCACCATTTTGCTTTTTTTTTTTTTTTTTTTTTTTTTCTTCCTAAAAGGCCGTGTCTAGACCAGTGCGAAAGGAACTACTCTCTGCAGTGCCCCGAGCAGTGGGCGCCCCAGGACGACAAGACGTGCCGACCCCTAGCTATTTATGAAGGTGGGCACAGGGGAGACCTCCACAGCAACTCCACATCGACAAACGAAGTCGAGAACGAACAGCACCGCCTGATGACACCTCACAATTGATAAATCATTCTCATCCTTTTTAACAGGAGTGTGTCTTCCATCCCATGACTTTTCTAACATGACGGACGCACAAAAGGAAATATGGAGCAACAAGTGCGGAACGGACTGGCCATGCATGGTTAGACACACAAGTTTGTATTCTACGTGGGGAATGCCTTTGAGTGGAAGTGCCCTCCCACACACACACCCTCATCCAGTGAAGGTGCCCCGCCGATGCAGAGAAAAGGAGTGTCACACATCCGATTGTTTTCTTTCCCCCCACGTTTTTCCAAGTCGTCGTGCAAGAAGGACTACTCTAGAAGGTGTCCCCAAGTAATATACAATGCCGAATGAGTGCCTAAGTGCGTAGAAATCCCTTTTGCCAAGGGAGAAATATTAACAGCTAAACAATTTTCTCCTTCTTCTTGTTCCTCTTTTTAGGGGTGGACCAAAGAGAGTAACACACAGAGGAGTTCCAATCATTCGCCTTTCGAACTGGGCATTTTTTTTTTTTCTACATGGGTAATCTTTGTCCCATTTTGAAATTTTTTTTTTTTTTT